GCGTTCCCACATAATTCTTAGGGTTTCTTCATTTTTTTAAATCCTTTCGTCTGATTTTTCCTCAAATAAGTTGGTGTCAAGTACTTTATCCTTCAGTCTCACTAGTTCTGACTTCCATTGCCTCAATTCTGCTCCTATGTCTTTCTATTGAGTTGTCTAATTCTGACATTTTATTGTTAATCTTCTGGATTTCTGATTGCTGTCTCTCTATGGATTCTTGCAGCCTGTTAAATTTGTCATTATGCTCTTCTCTAATCTTTTTAATTTACTCTACTGTGTGTTCTGCATTTTGCTTAACTTCCTTCCTAATTTCTTAAAGAGTTCTGTATATTTATCTTTTTTATTCCTCCTCTGGAAAATTTCTAGATTCTTCATTTTGGGAGCTTGCTGAAGCCACCATGGATTGCCTCTTTATGTGATTTGACATTGACTGCTGTCTGCGAGCCATCAATAAGTTATTGTATTTATTTTATGTTTGCTTACCGTGTCCTAGCTTCTTGTTTTGTTTTGATATGCCCAAATATGCTGCTCATATGAGCTAGTTTGATTATTGGCACCTTTGAAGCTCTAGTGTCCTGTCACCACGTGGTTATATCTGTTACAGGTATGTGAGCTCAGGAGTCCACCCACTCCTCCTGTATGGATTCAGCTCAGGTGCCCAGGTAGATAGACACCAAGTGTGTGGTACAGGCTCTCACTTACAGTCTAGACAGGTATGGGTGATTGGTGCAGGCACAGGCATCTGGCTGTGGCACGGCGACACTCTTAGCAAGGCAGGGGGCTGACGTCTGCCCCTGAGTGTCCAGGAGGAAGGCATGTTCCTGTTCCCTAGAGCACGTAGGTAGGTGGGTTTTGCAGCCGGACTATGAGCAGCTAATGCTGTTGGCTGTAAGGACTGGGGGGCAGCACCTCTTATTTATGGGCCCCTATCACAGGTGGCTAGGTGGCATGGGTGGAGCCACCAGTCTTCAGGCCCTTGATGTGGGTAGGTGAAGATCCTGCTTAATGGGCAGAGGAGTGTCAAATGTCAAGAACCTGCCATTTCACAGCTGAAACAGTTGAAGTTAGACTTCCAGTATATACCTTGCTGTACTGTGGTAACGAGGGCCTACGCTGCTGGAATGGGTCCACACAAGTCTCTGCAGGGGGAAAGCCACTCAAAGTCTGTGGATCCCTTATGCCTCTGCCTAGGCAAAGGACCTGTGCCTACCTTGGGTTCCTGGCTTAGGGGAGCCAGCAGTTTATTTTTTCCCCATTCGTTAATTTGTTCATACTCCAAGGCAGGGAGAATGGCTCCAGCTATGTGACAGATCCTACTTCTGGCCCAGGGGACTCAGCAATTGCTGAAGCCGGTCCAGGACCCAGTGCAGAGCTGGGAGCACGGAGGTAAATGGGAGAGAAGTTGTTCCCTAAGGGGGGTGTTTTTGATCCGCACGGTATGCCGTATGCAAGTACTTATCTTTCACCGATCCAGGGCTGCTTCTCACTGATTCTGGGTGGCCGTGTAGACTCTTTGGTGCTGGGTCTCTCCCGGTGCAGAAAACGTGCCTCCCGTGCACCAATGCTTGCCTGCCTCACCGCTCACCCCCAAGCTGATCAGGCCTGAACAGCTCAGGCTCTAGCCAGGTCAGGTCTGGCAACTCCTCGCTGCTTCCAAACTGTCTCTCCCTCCCCCTGCCACTCAGTCCAGTTCCTCAACTCTGCCTTTGATGTTCAGGGCTCCCAGACTGCCATATATAATAGATTCACTTGTTTTTTCAGCTCTTTGTTGTAAGAGGGTCCACAGGAAGTGTCTGACTACTCTGCCATCTTCGCCCCGCCTCTAAAATGAAATTCTTGATAACTTCAATATTTTCTCCAGTTATTATGACACTGCTTATTGGTCCAATTGTGAGGGTTTTTGTTGTCTTTATGTTGAGGTGTAATCCATACTGAAGACTGTAGTCTTTAATCTTTATCAATAAGTGTTTCAAGTTCTCTTGCTTTCAGCAAGCAAGGTTGTGTCATCTGCATATCGCAGGCTGTTGAGTCTTCCTCCAAATCTGATGATCCGTTTTTCTTCATGCAGCCCAGTTTCTTGGATTATCTGCTCAGCATACAGACTGAATACTATGGTGAAAGGAAGTAATCCTGAAGCACACCTTTCCTGATTTTAAACCAGGCAGTATCCCCTTGTTCTGTATGAACGACTGCCTCTTGGTCTATGAATAGGTTCCTCATGAGCACAATTAAGTGTTATGGAATTCCCATTCTTCGCAATGTTATCCATTAATTTGTTATGATCCACACAGTTGAATGCCTTTGCGTAGTCAATAAAATACAGTTAACACCTTTCTATTATTCTCTGTTTTCAGCCAAGATCCATCAGACATCAGCAATGATATTCCTCGTTCCACACTCTTCTGAATCCAGCTTGAAGTTCTGGTAGCTCTCTGTCGATGTACTGCCGCAACCACTTTTGAATAATCTTCAGCAAAAGTTACCTGCATGTGATATTAATATTGTTTGATAATTTCTGCATTTTGTTAGATCACTTTTCTTTGGAATGGGCACAAATAAAGATGTCTTCCAGTTGGTTGGTCATGTAGCTGCCTTCCAAATTTCTTGGCACAGATGAGTGGGCGCTTCCAGTGTTGCACCCATTTGCTAAAACATCTCAACTGGCATTCTGTCAATTCTTGGAGCTTTGTTTCTTGCCAATGCCTTCAGTGCTGCTTGGACTTCTTCCTTCAGCACCATGGTTCTTGATCAAACGCTACCTCCTGAAATGGCTGAAGGTAGATCAACTGTTTTTGGTATATGACCTAGATTAAAGAATGGGATTTCTATGACAGGTCAAGTCCACAAGCTACATTCTGTTTACTTGATCATATTTAGGTCTTATCTGGTCAAGCTGTTTGATAAAGACTCTGCAGTTACTGTGAGTCTCATCAAGCTATTCATAAGCAAATTTTCATCCTATAAAAGCTATACCTATTCACCAGACCTATTCAGTCAGTATGCTGAACAAATAATCCGAGAATCTGGAGTATATGAAGAAGAACGGGGCATCACGATTGGAGGAAGACTCTTTAACAACCTGCATTATGCAGATGAAACATCTTGCTTGCTGTAAGTGAAGACGACTTGAAGCGCTTACTAATGAAGGAGAAAGACCACAGCCTTCAATATGGATTACACCTCAAAATAAAGAAAACAAAAATCCTCACAACTGGACCAATAAGCAACATCATGATAAACAAAGACTGAGGTTGTCAAGGATTTCATTTTACTTGGATCCACAATCAACACCCATGGAAGCAGCAGTCAAGAAATCAAAGACGCATTGCATTGAGCAAACTGGCTGCAAAAGACCTCTTTAAAGTGTTGAAAAGCAAAGATGTCACCTTGAGGACTAATGTGTGCTTGACCCCTAACCCAAGCCATGGTGTTTTCAATCGCCTCACATGCATGAGAAAGCTGGACAATGAATAAGAAAGACCGAAGAAGTACTGACGCCTTTGAATTGTGGTGTTGGCAAAGAAAACTGAATATACCATGAACTGCCAGAAGAATGAACAAATCTGTCTTGGAAGAAGTAAAACCAGAATGTTCCTCAGAAGCAAGGATGGCGAGACTACGTCTCACATACTTTGGACATGTTATCAGGAAAGGATCAGTCCCTGGAGAAGGACATCACGCTTGGTTAAGGAGAGAGTCAGTGAAGAAGAGGAAGACCCTCGACAAGACGGGACTGACACAATGGCTGCATAAATGGGCTCAAGCATAGCAGTAATTGTGAGGATGGAGCAGGATCGGGCAGTTTTCGTTCTGTTGCTCACAGGGTCGTTATGAGTTGGAACTGACTAGACAGCACCTAACAACAACATAAAAGCTACATAACTTTTACAGGAGAGGCAGTATTTAAGAGCTTAGGCTCTGGGGTCAGGTATGGAGTTTGCTTCTCAATTTTGCCACTTGCTAGTCAGTTAGTAACCTTTAGTAAAGTTACTTTATCTTTAAAGTTTCAGCTTCTTTGTTTTCATAGGGACAATAAAGTACCTACTTCATAGGATTGTTGTGAGGATTAAACAACAAACTCAAAAGTGTTAGCATAGTGCCTGACACAGAGGAAGCATATTATATATTAGTTATTATTATTACTATAATACATCCCTTAATTCTAAAAGCCCAAAGACTGGGCAGATGACAATTACTGTAGCAAGGTCTAGTATCTTACTAGCACCTGAAAGTGAAATGACGTTCTCACGTGAAGTAACTGAAGAAGTCATGGGACAAAGCTGTTAAAGGGCAGAAGGTGCTTTCTTGCTTTAAATTTACATAACTAAAATGCAAAATTATCAAGGTATAAATAAAATAATTATTTTCTTTATTGTCTTTTCTTATTTTAAAATAACTTTTACTATGGAAATAATTCCAACATATACCAAATTAGAACACTAAAATGAGCCCAAGCAACCATATTACATACGATGAAAACACAGTCATTCTTGTTTCACGTGTAACTCCACCCATGTCTCCTTTTCAAGTGAAATCCTAGCTCATCTCTTTACACACTACTTAACAGCAAACTTATTTTACCCAAAATGGCAATGTATAAACTTTTAGCTCAAGAAATTAGTAACAAATTTTCAAATATTTCCATTCGTGTGAAATTCTCTTAAATTCTTGACCAAAGGAAAACCACTGATACATACTATATTTCAATTATGTTTGCCAATTTGTGAATGACTCTTTAAACTTGGGCAGTTGTAGATTTATGAAGCAATGCATTTGTTTATCACAGCTGACTTATCATTACTTAGACCAGATATAAAAAGAGCTAGTAAGGTATTAGTCACTAATCTCAAGTCATCAAGGGGAAAAAAAAAAAAAGCAACCCTGATGGAATCCCATAGGCGGTCTTTAAGTGTAACTCTAAGTAAACAAGTAACTTACTCGTATTTTTAGTACATAGTTAAAATGACTTGCGAAGAAACATATATGAAACGCACTTTTACCTCATTGTCTGTATGAAGATCAACTTCACCAGCACACTGCATAGAACTAAAAAAACTGCTGAATTTTTCATTAATTTTTTCTACCAGCTCTTTTAAAGGATTTAGCCATCTTTCTTTCACCTACAATTAAAAACAATATAAAAACACAATTTAAAAGAAATGCTACTATATTCCAATACAAAATTTCACAAAAAACAAATTTAACAGCAATATCAATTTGGCCATAAGAACACACACTGCACTTTTTTCTCTTAAAAGCGTATCATTCCATTTTACATTAGTCTAATTCTCATATCATTAATGATAAGTGTATGATAAAAAAAGACAAAAATTAAACAATTACCTGTGAAATGTTTTCCCTGTATTTATCCAGTTCAACTTTCTTTCTCTTTAGTTCCTCAGTTAATTGTTCTATTTCTTCTTCTCTTTTTGTGTATTCCTCAACAACCTGGCAGGAAAAAAAAAATTAAATCTACCAAAGGATAAAATTAGATAAAATTTTGCATCAATTAAAATCTTAACTGAAAATACCAATTGTGTTGTATTGTTTGTATGCAATTAATTTATGTTCTTATAACATACTGAAAATGCCGTTTTTGTATCCTTGAAAAAATATTAGACATTACAGTATTTCAGGTTAGCCCAACTACTATCCTTTTTATAAAGAAAAGGCACAGAACACTGTGTTCCTTAGGAAGAATCTATTTAAAATTCTAATAGATTCAGAATCTGGCATTTAAAGCACATTGTTCCTGCTGTCTAGCTTATTATTACCAAGAGCTCTGGTACAGAGTGGGAGGCAAGTACTAGAGGGAAGTGTGTGTGTGTGTGTGTGTGTGTGTCTGTGTGTGTGTGTGCAGAGGTGGTGGTGGTGACTGTTGCAGAATGGGAACAGGAAAAGAGGCATACTGTAGGATTTAGTCCTGTGAAGCAAGACGCTCTTGATCTTTCTTCAGTTAATAAAGCATCAATTTCATCCAATGTGTTCGGAAGATCTTGGAAAGCCTAAAGGAAAAAAATTGTCCATCATTACTGATAGTATAGTAAAAATACATTCAAATGGTTTAACGAAAAATTATCTGCTGAGTAGCTACTACGTGATCAACAGCATGCTAACAAACAACAACAATACAAAGGAATTATAAACAGGGTTTTTTGCCTTCAAAAAGCTCACACTTTAAGAGACTACAAAACGTACACACTTAATAACACTGGATAACACCTTAAGGCAGTGTATTGATGCTGAAAATTAAAATAAGTGTACACATCATATAGGCTATGGGAATTTAGAGAAAGGAAGTATCAGTTCATGCTACAAGAGAGTTAAGAGAATTCAGAGACCTAGAATTCAGTTCTGGGCCTTAAAGCAAATGGCTAGGGAAAAGCAGAGAAGGGGGAATGGGAGCTTGGAAAAAAGAATGAGCACTGCATACCATGGGGGGTGAGGAGTTGTGTCCATTTGGAATGGTGGGTACTTGCTGAATTGGTAGAATGGGTCCAGAATATGTGGGGCATTGAAAGAGAGCAAGAAGTTAGAACTTTATACCATAATTATGAAGAACTACAAAAGCATCCTAAGAATCCAATTACTTTGACAGAATTTCACCACCGTACTATCTTCTGAGTCCATGCCACAGAGACAAATTAGAACAGACATTTTCCTACAAAGGGAGGCAAGCAGTATACCGTTTTGCCTAGTACAACCTGCGAAGTCCATACACTACAAGCTACAAAATGAGTCTTGAAATCCTGAAAAGGATCTTAAACATTATATTATGATAACTTAATCTCAATAATTTTTTTGGTATGTAATGTATATTTTGCTGAATCTCTGACTTCTCTACTGAGCTCTGAATTCATCTGCCAACACTTACTTCATGTCTCCACTTGACTCTAATAAACCAAACCAAACCCGTTGCCATCAAGTCGATTCCAACTTATAGCGATCCTACAAGGACAGAGGAGAACTGCCAGAGGGTTTCCAAGGAGCGGCTGACAACCTTTTGGTTAGCAGCCAAGCTCTTAACCATTGCACCGTCAGATGGTGAAACAAAAATCTTCATTTCACTCACTTTCCCTATCCCTTTGAGCAAACCTATTTCTCATCTGATCGTCTCCATTTCAGTAAATGGCATCAGCATTTGTTCAGGTGAAAAATTTAGGAGTTCTCTCTTACCCTTCACCTCAAATCCATCAGCAAGTCCTGCTGGCTCTGTCATTAAAACATACTCCGAAGCTATCAATTTCTTTCTCTACGGCTGCCACCCTAATCCAAGCCACTATAATCTCCTGCCTGGCCCAAAGTAATAACCTTCTAAACGATCTCCTTGCTTTCATTCTTAAATTCCTACTGTATTCTCCATATAGCAGCTACAGTGCTTTTTTTATAAGCTGAAATTAGTCACATCCCTCGTCTGCTTAAACTCCTCCCATGGGTTCCATCTTAAAAAGAATAGAACCCAAACTGCGTGTATGGTTTATAAGGCCCTACATGATTTGGTTTTTGCCAGTTAGATTTTTAGATCCACTGAGTTTTTTTCTATTCCCAAACATGCTATACATTCTTCTGCTTTCAGGGGCTTTGTACTGCTCTCTCTGCCTGGAATACTTTCCCCTCAAATCTTCACTAATTTCTTCTCTTCAATCAGGACTCATCTACAGTAGTATCCTCTCACAGGAGCCTTCCCTAACCAACCTCCCATCCCTGTCACTCTATTCCCTTACGTTGTTTTATTTTTCTTCTTAGCACCTCTCGCTACCCGATATTATCTACTTGCTTGTTGATTTGTTTGTTGTTTTATTGTCTGCTCCACCCTCTAAACTAGAATCTAAGTTTTAGTAGAGAAGAAAGTATATCTGTCTTGTTCAGTGCTTGATATACAGCAAGTAATACACTTTTAATGAATGAATATATGAATTATCTTCTAATTTTGTTCCTTTCTAAAACAGTATAACTTATCAAGGATTGAATCATGCTACTTCCTGAAAGAAAAAGTAGTACAGATATTGTACTAATTACTTATTTCATGGTAGCACAATGTATTTTGGAGAAGTTCTAGCATATATTTAGAAATAAATGCCTTAACTTGTTTTACAAATACCTACTAAATGACTCCTATGTACCCAAATAGTCAAAGTCATTCTCTGTTGTCTCTCTGTCTGATATCATGGAATAAAATTTTTGAGGGTTTGAAAATTATAATTCAAATTAGTCATTTTCCAGTTCTGTTTATACAGTTAGTAGACATTTTATTATCTATTGATATAGGTAACGTTTGAAATTAAGGATTAAAAAAACCATGCAAATATGATATTTAGAAATACATTTCCTAATTTTATTTTGACATTATTCTGAGAGTAGGCATGTAGGCACAGTATCATTCCAACCTATTAGATAAAGCCTAGGGTCACAGGGCTATGTAATTATTATGGTGAAACTTAGATTAAAGGGTAGTATTTCCTCATTTTACTCAGGGCTTTGTAAGCATATAAAATATAACAGAAATAAAGATAGGCTCTTTTCACCTTTCCTTATTGGCAGATGCTAGCCCTGAAGATTCAACTTCCACTGAACACCAATTAAGCACCCCAACTTCTAGGAAAACGTTTTTATTTCAATTTTGTTTTTCTAAATATCAACTCCAGTTACTATTTCTAATATACCAATTACTGGTACTGTTTCCATGAAAAACTACATCTCATCTTGTAGAAAAACTCCAACTCCAACTCTTAAAGGTAGCTTGGGGAGAAAAACCTGCTTTTATTAGAACAATGAATGTTATTGTACCAATGATTCTGCAAGTTAACACACATTTTAAGAAATTTAGTACTAAGTAGTAAGACTGATTAAGCCTGAGTTTGAATATAGTAGAGAAAATCTATTAAAATTATATACATTCAGTTTAAAAATGGGGGAAAAAAAATCCCATGCTTTTCATGGCACAGCATGTTTTTCATGGCTGATTACAATGCCTAACACACTGTGAGCTTAAAAGGAATGTGTTAAATATGGTAACTGAGGCATTATATACAGTTTATACTTACTGTCTGGTATTCTTGAGGAACAGTCTGCTCAGCACCGAGGTTACATACTTGCCTAGCTCTCTTCATAAGTTCCTTGCATTTCTGCAACAGTCTCTGTCTATTTTCATCCAATTCAATGAAATTTTGCTATTACAAGAAAAAGCAATATTTTGAAAATTTGAATGTTATCATTAAATCAGAGGGCTCTTTTATTAAAACATCACATTACAACAAATAAATTACTGAAATCTGATTACGATAAACAAATCATCTGAAACCACATCTCAAACCATGATAGCCTTCATTATGAAGGTTAAATTTGAACTTAAACTTTACATCAGCACATTTCTCTAATTCATAAGAGCTCTGAAATTTAAATTGAATTGTCTTTTTCTGAATTGATTTAACTTAGCTATATATAATCATACTCTAATAAAATTTGAAATACATAGTACGTAGGCTTCCTGTCAGAAAACGCAGCACTCAAATGCAGGTAGAACCTTTAAATAGTGTTTGATAGTTTCCACGTATCTTTCATGTAGTTATCATTTACTCATGAACTCATTCATTCCTTCACCAAATAATTACTGAGAACCTATTAAGTGCCAGTACTATACTGCATACTGAACAGAGAAAGGTGAAGGAGAAAGATACATAAATCATTACCATAACAGGAACAGCTACTATTTAACGAACACTTATTGCATGCTAGACCCTTGGCTATGTACTTCACTTACATTATCCCCTTTACTTCTCACAATAACACCGTACAGTAATATTGTCCCATCTTGCGCATTAAAAACAAAAAGAATTAAGCAACTTGTCCAAGTTCACATTTACTAAGAGGCTGTCAGGATTCACATCCGTGTGTACTTATAGAACACATGCTCTTTTCATTACAGCATGATGCCTCTCAGTGGGAGCAGATCGGAAGGAGTGAAATGAAGAGTATGCGTGGTGGGGGCAGGGAATGCAGGGAGGCAAGAGTAGTCATCATGGAAGCTATGACAATTGAATAGTCTTAATGAACATGTAAGAAACTACTAACGGAGAAGCAGCAGAAGGCATTCTAAGTATAGGTGATTATGGATGTAAAGGCATAGAAGCCTCAATCACCCACTTACTTTGGAAACAAGTAACCTAATATTTGGTTGGAACGGAGGTATCTATAAGGATGTAAAAGATTAAGGTAGAAAGCTGGGCAAGGACCAGATGGCAAAAGTTTCACCTGTAATGAGGAGGACATCTGACTTACTGAATGTGTCCTGTGGGCCAAGCATTGCTATAACCACTATCCTATACATAATTGGTCCAAGGGAGAAGAATATTGAATATACCATGGACTGCCAAAAGAACGAACAAATCTGTCTTGGAAGAAGTACCACCAGAATGCTCCTTAGAAGCAGAATGGTGAGACTGTGTCTCACATACTTTGGACACGTTATCGGGGGGATCAGTCCCTGGAGAAGGACATTATGCTTGGTAAAGTAGAGGGTCAGTGAAAAGGAGGAAGACCCTAAAAGAGATGGACTGACACAGTGGCTGCAAACAATGGGCTTAAGCACAACAACGATTGTGAGGATGGTGCAGGACCAGGCAGTGTTTCATTCTGTTGTACACACGGTCGCTATGAGTCGGAACCGACGCGACAGCAACTAACAACATATGTAACTGGAGTCTCTGGGAGGTCAAAACAGTTACAGCTGCTAACCAAAAGGTTGGAGGTTCAAGTCTACTCAGAAGCAACTCAGAAGAAAGGTCCATCTTCACTGATTTTACTTCTGAAAAATCAGCCACTGAAAACCCTATGGAGCACAGTTTTACTCTGACACACATGGGATTGCCATGAGTTGGGACTGATTTGATGGCAACCGGTTTGGTTTCTTTCGTATATATGAATTAATCTAATCCCTATAACAATCTTAAATAATGGTATAATCTCTTCTTTTAGACATGGCTCAGTGATATTAAGTAGCTTGCCCAAGGTAACAGAACTAGCAGGTGACTGTTCAGAGAAAGACAACAGCTCTAGTTTGCACTTTCCATTAAACCTGAAACTTTGGTTTGCACAAAAATACTGGGTGGGGAGTGGGTATCGTTAAAACATTAATACTCTAGCCACATACCAGAACTATTCCATTAACGTCTCTGGGACCAAGGCCTGAATATCTCTATTATTAACAAAGCCTCTGGTGATTTTTATGCATACAAGCATGAGAACAAATAAACTAAACCAAAACAATAGTTATGATAAATAAAAGGACATAAACCGGACTGAAATGAAAATATAAGCAACCCTTGTACCCTTATTCCTCACTCACCAACTATCTCATTATCCAACATTTCACGTTAAAAAATGTACTATCCAACTATTTTGTGCATTAACGAAGTACACTGGGCAGTAATGAATGCCAAGCTACAAGGCAAGAGTAATGCTGGCTGTGATGGTTAAGGTTATGTGTCAGCTTGGCTGGGCCATGATTCTCAGTGGTTTGGCAGTTATGTAATGATGTAATTTGGCAGTTATATAATGACAGTCATCCTCTGTTTTGTGATCTGATGTGGTCATCCTCCATTTTTGCTTAACACTGATTTTTGCACAACGACCTGGTCTTTGGAACCTAACCATTCAATAAGTGAGGGGTGAGTGAGTGCACTAATCACTTAGTACTATGGTTCCTTATTAAATTAATCCCTCTGTTGCTACAGACTGAGAAAAATTAAAAAAAAAAAAAGGTTAAAGACTTCTACTCATCCCTACTCTTCTCTCTAGGGTCCACTGTACTCAGGCAAATATAAAAAACAAGGGACAGCTAGATAGAAACTAAACACTCCTAATGTCTACTCCTCTGGACTTGGCTAAAATAAAATATTAGAACATTTAGGGAAAGAAATATTCTTGAGTTGACTGTTTACGCCCTGGGCTTAGGAGGACCAAACCTCGTTCAACAGTTTCCCTCTGTTTAGTGGCATATGTTGAATAAAATCTCCATCTGAGAAAATGTTCTTTCTCTACGTACGTGTTTGTGACATACTTCTTCAAACAGCTTTTTTTTTTTTTTTTTAACACCACAATTCTTGCTGAGCTTTTATTTATTTTGTGGGGAGAGTATAATTATGTAAGATAATGTTGTAAAGTCAAGCTAGAGAAAAAGGCTTTATTTACATTTTTACTTAGAGTCTAGCCTTTAACAGTTAATAAAGAATAGAAAATATTCCATCTATATAAGACATAAAGGGGACAAAGGGGCAAAATTTACAAAACATCCCTCACCAAAATCTCAGGAAAGCTTACATTGTAAGTATATATTCTGGGAGAAATTAGTAAGTACTATTTCTTTTCTGAAATTCATTTTGAAAAAGTTCAGCTGTCACGAAAGGTGTATAGAAATACGCTGACATTAAACAAGGAAAAGCCTTTCTAAGAGAGCCCTCTAGTGGAAGAAATTATAATTATTTACAGAATTTCTTATTAAATAGCATTTTGCACATAAAACTTACTACAGTAAATATTCTATTTAATAATCTATTAAAATAAGAGCCAAATAATAAGGAAAACCATCTTCTATATGACAGGAATCAATAAGTGCTAGGTAGCATGAACTTTTACTATAATATAAGCTGTAAATTAAATTTCTTCACTTTTCCTTTCATATAAATACAAGCATCAAATTTCATTCCAGTTTGATTTTAAATTCAAATGTTAACTATAAGTCTTAGTACATATCAGAGAGAATACAGATTTCTGAATATGAAAATTATTTAATCATTTTTCTGTTTTTTAAATGTCAACTTCAATTTGAAATTTAGAAATCAGTGGTCTTAATTGCCTTTTTAATACACAAGATTACAAGTTCTATTCCAACAAATCTAATTGTAAACAATGAAGAAATGGCAATAATAGTATTTAACTGTAGGCAAATGCATAGAGACAAAAGTTTTATTAGTGGTTACCAAGGGCTGGGGGGAAATGGAGACTTATTACTTAAAGGGTACTGAGTTTTTGTTTAGGGGGATAAAAAACATTTGAAAATATATTGGTGATACTTACAAAATATGGTGAATATAATTAATGTCACTGAATTGAACAGTTCCAAATGGTTAAAATAGCAAGTATTTTGTTATATATATTTTACTAAAATAATACTATTTACTTGTTAAATGATTTTTTTTCTTCAAAATTATATATATATATCATTTGAGTTAAAATGTCTCCTCTGAAAATTGAGTTCTTTGTAGGAGGGCAGAAAGCAGGTAGGCAGAATAGAGAAGGCTGGATAAAAAACACAGAATTATCTCCTTAGTATTACGATAAACAAATACATTAAAAAATTTCCAACTCTTAAACTACTTTTCTTTTTTTTAAATGGTTAACTTTTTAGGATTTTTATTCTTTTTTTTAAATTGTACTTTAGATAAAGGTTTACAAAACAAACTAGCTTCTCATTAAACAGTTAGTACACATATTGTTTTATGACATTGGTTAGCAACCCCATGGCATGTCAATACTCTCCTTTCTAGACCTTGGGTACCCAATTACCAACCTTCCTGTCCCCTCCTGCCTCCTACTCCTTCCCCCTGGGCTGGTGTGCTCCTTTAGTCTCATTTTGTCCTATGGGCCTGTCTAATCTTTGGCTAAAAGGTGAATCTCAGCAGTGACTTCATTGCAGAGCTAAAATGGTGTCTGGAGGCCATACTCTCAGGGTTCCTCCAGTCTGTCAGGCCAGTCAGTCTGGTCTTTTTTTGAGTTAGAATTTTGTTCTACATTTTTCTCCAGCTCTGTCCGGGACCCTCTACTGTGATCCCAGTCAGAGCAGTCAGTGATGATAGCTGGGTACCACCATCTAGCTGTACTGGACTCAGTCTGGTAGAGGCTGAGGTAGTCGTGGTCTATTAGTCCTTTGGACTAATCTTTCCCTTGTGTCTTTAGTTTTCTTCATTTTCCCTTGCTCCTGAAGGAGTGAGACCATTGGAGTATCTTAGATGGCCGCTCACAGGCTTTTAAGACCCCAGACTCTACTCACCAAAGTAGAATGTAGAACATTTTCTTTACAAACTATGCTATGCCAATTGAGCTAGATGTTCCCAGAGACCATGGTCCCCACAGCCCTCAGCCCAGTAATTTGGTCCCTCAGGGAGTTTGGATT